GACTAAGCGACTAAGCGACTGAGCGACTAAGCGACTAAGCGATTAAGCGACTAAGCGACATGTTAATAATAATACAAAATAATAATAATATTCTAAGATAATTAATAAATAATAAAATAATAAACTAATAATAAATTCGTTCTATAACAATGTGATTATAATTATAATGTGCTTATATGGAGGTATTTTTTAATAAAGTTATTAATAAATTGTTTCAAAGTTTTGTGTGATTATATAAAAGTTGTGATTACGTAGGAGGTGACTATAGAGGAGAATGACTGTAATTATATTAAATTAAAAAAATTAAAAATTAATTTAAACAAAAAATATTTTAATTAGAGCTATTTGAGGTACAAATCTTTTTGCACTGGACTATAGATCTATATTTATTTAGTTTCGAGATCCTTATAAAATGATATTAAAACTATGAAAAATATCCTAGTCAGTGCTGTACAGTACAATTATTGTTACGATAACTACTACATCAAGACCCTGATTAATACACACAAATATATAGATTAATCCTCAAAATCTTGTAATTATATTTGAATAATTTAAAATTATTTAAAAAAAACTAGTAGATAAAAAGTTACTATTAAAAAAAATAATCAAAAATATTACTCTAAAAAAATAAGCTGGTGAATATGTATAAAATATACGTATACAGCAGTGTTGGCATTGGACATAATATGTCCAATGCCAACACTGGCCGATATATATAAATTTTAACTAGCAAATTTACCAATTAGATGATTTAAAAAATATTGCTCTCTAAATTATTATATAAATCAGGCTGTTCTAGGAATATTATACATTTTGCATATAAAATCTTAGAACAAAAAAAATAGTGTATTATTTAAAACTATATAAAATGTTTGATTTGTAAAATTTACAAAATTATAATATTTGATATTTTTACCATACTATATACTACAGTATTTTGGTATTATAACGGTATAATAATTGTAATACCATATAATTCCAACATTTTTGTTTTAGATTTTCTGCAACGATTGGTTCTTGTATAAAATCTTCGCTCGATAATGAAAAAGTAAACGCGTCAAAAAATTTTATTTTATTTTTTTAAATTTTTTAACTGCTCCGGACTTACAATGGTTTTTTTTTTAAACCGTTTCCTAGTATAATTTAATTTGTTAGTGTGAGCATTGATCTGGTCTTTAGCTTGGTCTTAAGTTACCAGTATCTCCACACAACTTATCAGTTATTTAATACCACGTATACATCACGTTATATCCATCTGCTATTACTTCATGCTACGTACGTAATATCTAATACTGATATCGGATTATTACCAATTAAGGTATAAGTAATAATTCCCCGTGATATTGATATCGGGGAATTTATTATGTCTGACTGTTAAGATTCTTAGGTGATGCAAGAATTTGTTAAAAAAAAATGCATTCTCTTCCTTTAATAGTCAGCTAATGTTTATATAAGAAATTTTTTTGCGATATAGTGGTACCAACCAGTTTTACCTTATGGTTACTTGTCTAATCAATAAGACGTAAGTCTCAACTTTGATTTTCAACGGTTAACGAAATCGCATAAAAAGTTCCCGTTTTCCCCGGAGAGTGCATAAATGTCTGTCTCGGATCCATCACCAGAGTCGTTTAGCGAACAAAGTAATGGAAATGAAGATATCGAAGAGTAAGTTTTATCTGATCAAAAAAAAACAATTATTTATACGTAAACCTCAAAATGAATTGTTTGTAAATATGTCCAGGGGGTTAAATACTGAATTTTCGACACCTTTACAACTCGAACAGCCCGAAACTTCAACAAATATATCTCCTAAGGCTGCATTGGTTAGTCAAATGTTATTCTCTGTTGAGCTCGAGAAACAGCTGATTCGAATTATCTTTTATTGTAGGCATTCTCCATACTTTGTGATCTGTTAGATGAATGTACATTAGATGTAATATTTGAAGCGCATCGAGAGGCAAAATTATCAGGATCCATATGCCAAATATGCAATACTGAGTGAGTCAATAATTATCAGGATCCATATGCCAAATATGCAATACTGAGTGAGTCAATAACTATCACAACATTATTGCAATTTCTGCTAATACGCTATTATCATCACTATTGGCATATAGGTGTCGCTCTTTTGGTATGTGACAGAATGTGAAGATATCATTTTCATGTACACCACTTTTTCTCTGATTATGCATCTTCGTTTAAGTGGTTCAACCGGGATTGGATATTTTTGGCAACCATCCTCAACAAAATAACTCTCCAACATTTGAATGTGTAAACTGCCAACGTCCTTATCCATCAAAAAGATATGCGCCACATCTTGAAAAGTGTATGGGTTTGGCGGGCAGAAATTCAAGTCGGGTTGCCAATCTAAGGTAATGTTTGCAAAATTTATTCAACTGATCATATATTATTCTAAAAACTTATTTAAGGACGCGATTTTCAAATTAATTTCAGACTAAGTAGCGAACGAAACTCTTCGTCACCATACACTCCCGTTTACTCCGAAGATAACATAAATCAGAGTGATTCGGATGACGATTTATATGTTGAAAAAAAACGTGTGTACTTCCCTTTCCCTATTTTGATTGAACAGGCAGTTTATCTGGGCTAGGTGCTATAAAAAAGGATCAAATTAACAAAAAATAATGTTTGCATAAAATTAATTTTAATATCATAAGCTCATAAAAATATAACCTTTTAAGCAAAATTTTATTCACTTGTTTCCTATATAAAAATGCTTCTAAATTAACCTTGGATTAGTCAAGCTAAAAAAAATTAGTAATTTGGCCTCTTCTTAGCACCTAGTCTATTTTCTCATGTTATTTACACTCAATGTCTTCTATTTCAGGCAAGAGATCCAACGGAAAATCAAGAGTAAGCATATCGTGTATATTCATTATATATTGCATATAAACTTTCCAAATTTTAAATATATGGCTGCTAAATATGTAGGCGTCATCGCCAGCTAAATTTTCCAAGTTGAGAAGACAAAAGTCATCCTGCAAGTACTACTGTATATAAATAAATGTTGGATACTTATCAATGTAAAGATAATAATTTCTTTCATATTTATTATCGCAGTATCGGACACAGTCGAAGCTCCAAATTTTGTTTCAACAGTTGTGACAAAGGTATTAATAATTAATAATTCATTTGTCATGCTTCATTGAATATTTATTTTTATTCATTTTTTACGCAGTTGAAATGTAAGTATGGAATAGAGGCAATAATTTAGGCTATTACAATAATTATATTAAATTTTTTTATTTCAGTGATACCAGGAAAAGCTTCAAGATCACAAAGCCCTGCACCTTCTTCAAATTCTGACAGCCCATATCGTAGTCAATCACCCTTGAAACATTCGTATTCAATGTCGCACATAAACGGTACGGGTCTGACAGATGAATTAAAGCAAACACATCTCTTTGAACAGACTAAGTCTAATGGGTACGCATTAATGCAGTTATTGCTTTATTTGGACATAAACGATTTAATTGGTTATTATATCGAATATATTTCATATTTCATAATGGGATTTTCGTGAACTGGCTTGAAATGTTTGCACTATCATATACTGTAAACTGATGGGTTATATTAGGCAATGAATACACCATCAAATCAGTACAAGGAACCTTTTTAAGCGCAATCTCTCTAAATGCAACACAAATTTTAACATATATAGTTGATATATAAATGCAGTTTTCTTATTTGTTCTTTAAATGCATGTCAAAAATGATCCCTAAAAGTTGCATTTAGAGAAGTTTGACTGTATGATTAGCCCATTATGACAAATATGTTGATTCAGATCTCAATTCGATTTGTGACATACATTACTATTTTCGTTTTAAATTATACTTTTTTTTGTTAAAGGGTCAATGCTTCTGAGCATGGTGACACTTCTACACAGTCATCAACTGTTGATAATGATTACATAGGTATTTTGGTATTTATTTTTTTACCACTGTTATCAATGAAAAAAAGAAACTAATCATATTTTTATTTTTGCAGATATTGATGGAGATGATGAAGTACTTCAAACCTCCAATGATTCATCATTTCTAGCTTAGATAGACGTTATAGAGTTTGATCTTGAGATTGATGATTAATTAGATTCCAATACTCTAAAATCTATTAGATAAAGTTTTTTCTAAATGAAACAAATATGCCCGGGAGTCACAGATACATATTAGGATTATAATTTTATCAGGTATCTTGTGATTTGCTGTTATTTCAAGGAATGTATACATATATAATTCGTGTGTATTCCTTAAAATATCGTAACTCTCAAGATTGTCACGTCTGACTAATATATATTTTGTGTACTATGGCGAATAAATTATCGGTCCGTTATCACTTCAGCGTTGATCCTAAACATTTACCTAGACATTTATACTAATATTAATACAAGACAATAATTTGCCTAAAATTTTATGTTGGAAACTTTTAATGAATGAAAGCAAGTTACTATACAAATTTGTGTTATTTCCTTGGTTTTTTTTTTAACTTGTTTTGATTTGTATGTGATGAAAGTTTTATGGCTCGGCTAAGCTGTTAAATTGTTATTGCCTTAGCCACTTAACTAATAATTGCAGATTAGTAATAATATTAGCTATTTCAATAGTGTTATTATCCTAAGCGTACTAACGTCTTGAAATTTTTGTGGCTCTAATTTATCGCATGCATCAAATTCGTGATCTGCAATCAACTATTATTTTTCTTTAACAACTTGTAATTAACTAAATTGTTGCTTTACAGTATATATATAACAGATAAGTATAACAAACTGTTATTAATAGAAACAGTATACTGTAAAAAAATTATTTAATTTATAACAAATTTTATTATAATTTTTTAGAAAGGATATGTTACTACATATATTAGTCTAAATATCTTGGATAAAAGTAGACTTTATAGTAATGAATTTCAAGAAAATTAAATAGAACTAAAATATTGAAAATAAATAAAGGCAATATCAAGCCATCTTTATCATATTCTGATTTAATTACGTTTTGTCATTTTATTTGAAATATCTGTTAATACTAACAAGCATCTAATACGTACAATTAACACACCTAAAAAATTACTATATATATAATGACAAATTACGTCGAGATGCGTTAGTTGTAATTTGACGCAAGAATGCAGCTTAGGCACAACATTTATACGTATTTATATTTGAAATGATTCAAAAAGTCGATATTTAATCATTTTTGATATAATATTGATATTTAAGATAAAGTTGACAATCATGATATAATATATACTGTGCAATATAGACCATGCTATGAATAGAAGAATTCAGTCACAACTTTGCGTAAATCTTAAATTTTTACGATATAGTAGTAAATGATATAGCACAAACTGTAAGTCTATCCTTACTACATACTACGTAGAGTTGGGAAAACAGGTTTTTTTGCTCAATATATCATATCAATACTGATGTAAATATATATATATATACTTGCTAAATGTGGATCGCGTAATGTGAATACATTTCAGTTTAATGCTACGTATATAAATTAATCAATTAAAAAATTCAGCGATTTTATTGGCTAATTGTCATTCATGAATCGCGTTATACCGTTTAATTAGTTCTTCGAAAAAGACCTTCAAACAAGAAGTATGTCACACGTAGTAGGAACTATCAAATGTGTGGGAAGCTCTTCGGACTCCTTGGACTCGCGTATAAATCGTAGTTCTACTGGTAAGGTTATAACACTAGAAAAAGATTTATTGGGTTTCAAAGAAATAATAAATAGTTCTATTGGAATTTATTAGAACCTAAATATTTGGATGGTGCTACGAAATTGACGTACGTATCAGGTTTCGATGGCGATTACATTAAACTTGAGGATTTGCTTCAAAAGGTAATAGTGTAATCGAAAGAATTTGTTTAACAATTAATTATATTCAAATCATTTACGTGATCTTTCTTAAAAAAGGACCATCTCAAAGACGCGTTCCTATGCGCGTTAGCTGTTGATTTGGAGTGGCTATTAACCAAATTACCTGAAAAAATTCTTATCGTAATTGCAAAGCATTGGGACTCTGAGCAAGAAGCTGTAAGGCGATTTAATCAAATCTAGTATTCATATAAAGATGATGCTAATTGATATAAAAATGGGATCATTTACTATTCGTATAGGAGGGAGTGTACATTTTGCCGGGTACCAATGTATTACTTGTTCATCCACCACTTGCGAACGCACCAATTGGGTGCTTTCACGCAAAATTAATGTTATTATTCTTCGATGGATGGATGAGAGTAGTTGTCGCTTCAGGAAATTTAATACGTTATGATTGGGAGACCAATGAAAATGTTATATTCGTTCAAGACTTCCCTAAAGTTCAGGCTACGGATTCAAATAATGACAATCTTCATCCATTCGCTCAAGATATCAAAAATTTTATCTTAGCAATGGGTCTTAAAAATCATATTGTTAATAAACTTCCGCAATATGATTTCTCAAGAGCAAAGGTGAGATTGACATTGAATTTCGGTTAAATACAGTAGATGATTCATAATAATTTAATTCAATAATGTCAATCATGAAGGCGAAACTTGTTGCTTCTATACCGGGTGTATACAAAGGGATTGAAAACATCAAAAAATATGGTCATGGGCGTTTGTGCAAAGTTGTCCAGGAAATCTGTGGCCCAAATGAAAATATTATATTAGAATGCCAAGTAAGATGAATTACTGTATTATTATTATTTCGGTATAATCCTCGATATGCTATATAACTAATATATATGTGATAGACTTCGACTCTTGGTGGTCTTAACGCTGATTTTCTACGTGAGTTTCATCGATCTGCAAGTGGGATTGATCCAGAAATTTCAAAGCCGCGTACTAAAAAGAGTCAAGGAGTTGAGAGGCTATTACCTCAAATGACAATGGTTTATCCGTCTAATCGTACTGTTTCGTCATCTAAATATCCGAAAGCGGTAACTACGGTTATTTCACTGGTTGCACTGTAAATTATTACTAACAATATCTCATTATTCATGCTAAGGCCGGTGCTGCACTCTTTTTTGGAAAGAGTAATTATACCAAGGATACTTTTCCTAAAGAAATTCTTAGGTAAGTGGGAAATTCACTTGGTAATTCTTAAACATTCATTGCTGATGTGTTATTGATTTAGAAATTGTGTATCCAAACGAGATGGAATTTTGACGCATTCAAAAGTAAATTTGTCATGATTGATCCATAAACGACTTTCTATTGACATTTATACATGGAAACTTTTTGTAGTTCGTCCTGGCACGTTATACTCAACAAGAACAGCCAAAAGATTCACAAAAGCGTCAAAAGACAAATAAACTCAACAGCGATGTTATTCGTGGTTCAAGTGAATTTACACGAAAATCTTATGTATCAGAGGAAACAAATATAGATTCACAAATTACGATCAATGACCAAGGCATAAATCCTATTAGAGGATGGTATTATTGTGGGTACGTATATGCAGTGTTGTACATGAGACAGTTTGGACAAAATTAAGGTTTTAAAAAATGTCAATAACTCACGATCTATTAAGATTTACATTAATTGTATTATTTTTTTCGGGAATATTGATGGGACGAGATGGACGTCCTGGAGAGGGACAAAGCAAAAAAAGCTTGGAACAGTCAAAATGTACAGCACTGCGTATATTCATATTTTCCTAAAGAAATGAAGCAAATGTATTCTCTTACTTATATATTCTACTTTATAGAAGCCACAATTTTACAAGTTCCGCTTGGTATGTTTATGTATCAAGCATTATCATGTAAGATAAATTACAGCTTAAATTTAAGTTCTAATTTTGTTTTCAAGGGGGAAGATATCTACCTCTCGTGAGACTAAAGGGCCTCAGTTAAGAATTAATAATTGGGAATTAGGTATCTTTTTTCCAATTAGAGGGAGTGAAAACGATCAGGGAGATTGGTTTACGGAAAATGGTGTCCCAGTGCCGTATCAAAGACCACCAAGGCGTTATGATCCAAATGACACTCCTTGGGTAAGCCTTGAATTCTGCATTCAAGTTTCGTCAAATCTCGCGAATTTTATTAATCGTATTACGTGTATTATAGTTTTCTTTTAATTAAAATGCTAGTTATGAATTTTAAAGTTTGGCTTCCTGCATGAACTGTGATTTGAGTGATAAGGAATTATTTACTTTCACACAATAATAATGTTTTGATTTTAATATGATGAATTTTATTTGCAAAACTTGGTCCAATTCATGTGTATGTATTTGATCTAAATGTAATATTATTGTTTTAGTGTAAAGCTTTACTAAATTCGTATATAATAAGTTTTAATAATGAATTTAAATTCCGTTATAACATTATTGCACATAAATATCTGGTAATTAGAGAACTGCAAAAAATTTCTTTTAAGCACAGAATTTTTAAAAAATATAAAATATTAAAAAAAGTGAAAATAATAAAATAACAAAATATGCAATATCCTGCGAAAAAATTCCGAGATCATGTGATCGACGATCCTTCCGGACGGGAAAGTCTCCGGACACAACTCCTACAGGGAGATCCCAAAATTCCGGGTCGGAAGCCTCAGAACTCTGGTCGGAAGAGCCGGGTTGATCGATTTTGCCCAAGATCACTAAGAATTTTACTAATGAAACAATAGTTGTTCATTAAGTAAAAAGTGCCTAGCTGATAATTTTTACTATAGCCTATAGCTTTTGCTAACCCTAACCTAGCACTAATTATATGGGCCAATATGCAACACTATGCAGAAGAAAATTTTTGATGCACATAGTGGAACAGTTTATTTGACAATACAATTGTCTGAAAGACTGAGGTGAAAGGTTTATTTTGAACATTTACTTATAATAATAACAAAGTTAAACAATATGTCTTAGTAGCTTCAGGCCAATAAGAGCAGTATTATTTATCATCTAATTTTTTTTTATTAGAGGCTTATCTCCCCAGTTTTTAATATATAAATGATTAGGTCTTATATATAAAATTTTAATTTTTTTGACCCTTCTCCCCCTATAGAAAATTACCTGATAATTGTTAGCTTTCTAATCTAATGGGTTTTAAAATAATCTAATAGGTTTGATATAAGTTCGTTATATTCTTGTTGCATAATAGTGTAAAATAAATCCTTATTAAATTAAAACAATCACTTTAATAATTCATTAGACCAATCAAAAAAAAATTAAAAAAGGAGTTTGAACCAAATTTAGTGACTCTATTCAGAGCCCAATTGTTGTAAATTGGCCTATATGTTCTAACTCTAACTATGATGCATTCCAGCTATTATAATTTGAAAATTTGGAGATTTTTCTATAAAAAATTTTAAACACATACTGTTTATGTGATATTGCACTTACCATAAATGGCCATATAGATGACCCGGGTATGTTACATTCCACCAATTAAAAAACTTGAATTATACCCGGGGTATATTGTTCGGAGAGGGGGTATAGTAATGGGTGGATTTCTTCTTGTTAAATATAAATTACTAATAAAAAACACTGGGTTTCTTACATTCCACTAAATTTTTAACCCTGGTTTAGACCCAGGTATATTAATGAGGGGTCTACTATCAAGGGGGTCTTTTATATGGCCATTTACGGTACTGATTAATAGAAGAGTTTCTAAACATCTACTATATTTGTGAATTTTGCATCTACCAAATATAAATTAACCAATCATAAAAAACTCTAATCAACTCTTTCCGACGATCACTTGGACCAAAATTACCAACTAAAAGGAGAAATAAGAAGTCTGTTGAAGAGTTGTATAAACTATTAGAATAGTTTGTAGAAAGGTCAACTGGCTTTAGGGACTCCTTTCTATGTTCGACATGCAAGCCAGAAGCCTCACCGAGTAACAGTGAAGAAAGCAGGCAGCGCTTATTACTTAAAAATAAATTTTGGTGGATTCATCCATTGACGAAGTTCTATAGTTTACTGTTCTAAAGGTCTATAGTAGTGGTTTTTAGAGTACAACAAAGTGGTTAACCTTCTTCTTGAGGACTTCCTCTTATATTTGACATGCAAGCCAAAAGCCTAGAAATAGAAGTGAAAAAGCAGGTAGCGCTTACTGCGAATAGAAAAAATTTTGGTAGGCACAGACCTGTCGATAAAACTACAAAGATCTTGGAACCCAGATGTACAACAGTCATCTTATTTTTTTTAAACCATACTCTTTTATTTGGCCAAGTGGTTCCTTCTTTTACTTTTACTCGCCTCTCTGTCGGTCTTCCAAAATTTTTTTTACAAAAAGTGAGGGATTTGGCTTACTCCCTCCAAAAGATCAGCATTGTTTACTTTTCAAATTTGGACAGACTCAGTAGAATGCAACCATGTGATGTGTCTATTTACAAATATGGCGCTACTCTAGGGAAGTCTGACCAGGACCTCCAGTTAAAGAGATATCCGAAAGTGGCCATAAGTCGGAAGAAATTTATATGTTTAAGTGAAGCTTTACATTAGAGATATACAATCATTGCATTTGTTATATAATTTTTTAGCCTTGCACAGATTACAATAGTGCATTTTGGTCATATAGAGAGGTAAAATTCCTCTCGAATTGTTATCTTTTTTCTATAAAATGTTTTTTTATTTTTTTCCATTTTTTCTTTTTTTGGGTTTTTTTTTATTTTTATATTTCGTTCATTTCCCCTATTTCTCTTTTCATATCTCCTTTTTAATCATAGGTTGTTTTCTTTTTTTTATAAATTTTTTGATAAAATAATTCTGGTTTGTCCACAAACTAGTGCAATGGGTTGCATTTAGGACTATAAAATAACCGAGTGAAGTTGGGCTCTGAGTTCTATAAATTAAATGTATATAGCTCTTATACATATTTTAATAAAAAGCAAGCCATGGCAAAACTAAAAAAAAAAAACAAACAAACACATAGCAAAACTAGAACAAATAAATAAAACAAAACAAACAAAACACGTAAATGTTAGAACTTCTAGATTACAAAAATTTTTTCAACAAATCAAAAGAGGAAAGAGCATCAATACAAGAAAAACAAAACAGTTCTATTTGGAAAGAGGATAAAATAGTTGCAAGCTATTTAGACACTAGCAAAATCTACCTCATTGTAATTATCTGTAGTGTTCTTTGTTACTATAGTTGAGCTCAATATAAAAAGACAAAAAAACAAGAATTAGAGAAAAAAGAGAAAATTCTGCTTAAACTCTGGGTTGATAACAGTATACAAGTAGATAACATGAACAAAGCTCAATATAACAACAACAATAATAAAAATCAACCGGTTTGAATTAAACTCATAGTGTTATGCTCCCTGTTCTAAAAGGAAAAAATTACAATATAGAAATTATAAAAGAAGCCATATTGAAAAATATGAAGCAAACTAACAACTGAAAAAGAAACTACACAGAGCAGGAGATCATAATTGACACAGCTAAAATTATAGTAGAAACAAAAAAAGATATATTAGTAAATGAAGAGTTGGACATACTAAATTATGGAATTATAGAATCTCTTGAAAAAGATGACATATTTGTTAATGAACAGATAATAAACAAAAGTAATAAAAAAGCCAAAAAGTAGAAAGATATCTTCAACTTAGTCTGGGTACCTAGAAGCAAAGCCAATAAACCTAATATTTTAAATAAAGACATATATAGCTCAATATGGGTACCGAAAGCATGGTCCTCCTTACAAAACAACTCAAAGAGACTACTATACCTATTTACTATATGAGATCTTTTAAAGAGAATAAGTAGATATGAAAGTAAAAAATATTTGGAGTATTTTGAAAAAGCTAATATTATTGGTTGGCAACTAAATTTCACAACAAAAGTAGCATATATCCAAATTTCAACCAAAACAAAAAAATATGAAATTTCACTCAAAGAATATTAGTCAATTACTCTAGATTATGGGAAAACATATAGAATGACCCTAGGTGAATTTGATATTAAAGAGTTAAAAAATAGAAATACCTTTAGATCCACATTATGTAATATCCCTACAAGAGTAGTAGACAGCCTCCTTCTCAATTAATTAAAAAACACAAAGTACAAGCTGTTCACATTCTTAAAAATAGTAATGGCAATTAGGCTAGAAGAGCATATATATATTTCAAGTTAGAGTATAACAAACTAGAAGCTCAAAAAACAAATATATACTACTTCAATACAAGGTTAACGTGGCACTTCTACTCTGAGGATGAAGGTTTATATATGCATATCACTATAGTAAGGAAAAAACAGTATATTTTAGCAAAAGAAAAGTAATAGCAAATAAGACAGAGCCTTGAAAAAAACAGAATTTAATTAACAAAGCCAAGTACACAAAAGTTTCTAGCAAATCAAATAGGCCTACCTTTGATAGTAACAAAGAAAACTGTAATAACTCCACCAAAGAACATATCAGCTCCAGATCACATAGCACTACAAGAAAACCTCTAAGAGTGCTAGAAAATAGAAAATAACAGAGTTGATAATCAAAAGTCCATTCAGGCTTCAAAAAACACCTATGCAACAGGGTCTAATAAAAAGGAGCTTGGTACAAGAAAGGGAAAATGAAGAGAGTCTACCACAGAAACTAACTTTGAACAATTGTTTGCTAATATGCAAGAAAAATTTAGAACATTTGAGCTGTTGCTGGCTCAGCACTCCTAAAATTTGCTCTAGTTGAATTAAGGAACAAGGGTAAGACAAATAGCCTCACTAATGCCTTACGTAATAACAATAAATTAAATTAAAGTGAGGACTTTTTAGAAAAAAACAATTTTGAATTGTTGAAAATAGGCTTTCATAATATTAATAGTCTTAAATTAGATGGGCAGAAATTAGTTGCACTTGCAAATTTAAGTAAGAATAAAAGTTTAGATATAATGGGAATAGCAGAAACAAATATAAGCAAGAAAGAAAAGAAATAAATAGAAATAAGTCAGCATGGCTATGTTAGCTTCTGGTCATCCAAAGAAATAGACAAAATTAAAGGTTCAGCCTTCCAAAATTTTTTACAAAAAGTGGAGGATTTGGCTTACCCCTTCTAAAAGATCAGCATTGTTTACTTCTAAATTCAGACAGATTAGTAAAATGCAACCATGTGTTTGTTTACAGACGAATATTGGCTACTTCATGG